TTTTGATACATCTGACATTCAAAGGTTTTCAAATGCCTCGCGCTGTTTTTTTTCTATTGCATTGGAAAAAAATTGGAAAATCCAAAAGTGCATGCCTCACACGCGTGTTGTATTACAAATTGAAATTAATTTAATAGAAGAGAAACTTATTGAAAAAAAATTCCATTGAATTTCATTAATATCTTTAAAGCGGTTATCAGTCCAATCATGATAAGAAATGGGGTTCATCCTCAGTATAAGTGGAAATGAAAAGGATCTATTACAATTAATTGCGTATATTTTTTTAAAACGTGCAGACAAACAAGTGCACAGACCAACGGACAGCAGTGTTAATACCTTTTAACTAAATTTTTTTGTAAATATAATAAAAAAATACGCTGACTTTATATAATTTAATATGTCTACTTTTGAAAACACACCTTTTCTATTGATTTAGTGTCTAATTTGGGAGATATAGCTGCCTATCGAGAGTAAAGCACTCCCACACGCTTACGCGTTGTGAGGCGTGCAATAGCAATATTAGAGAAAATGAGCATCAAATGAGAGTCAAAAATACAAATTTAGCCACAACAATCCTGTTAGGCGTCACTGGATCACCGGAGTAACTCAAGACATAGCTTTTTTATTTAGATTAGTAACTATACTAGATATCTCGTAAACTTGTAAAAGAATAAGAAATATTCACGTAAACTAAATAAAACTAGTGTGTTATTATTTTATAATACTTAGTCATAATATGGCGATATAAAAGCTATTTTGATAAACAATATTAAGTTAAATATGAAATTATTTTGACAAATCTAGTATACGCCATTTAAACAAAACAAAAGTTAAGACTAAAAATTCCGCATGATATTATGTGACTGATTTATAAATATAATCTTGGTTAATATAATAGCATTAGGTAAAGCTCTTGTGCACTGTGCGACCGCCTTTACGCGAAAGCTAGATGTTAACTCAAATTGTTTATTATTATATTTTTCTCAAAGCAAAATTAAGGTTCATTGTGTTGGTTGGCCCGGCACCAAGGTTCAAACCCATCGGGGGCATGTCGAGATAATCTTATCAGTGATCAAGTGAAACTGTGTGAATGGCGCAGTTAAAACACAAAAGTAATTACGAACAAGTTTTAATTAAACTGAAGATTCGATCGGGATTGTTAAGCTACTTTAGTGCTGTTGAATTTTGGATGGGAGGGATGTGAGTAATTGGTTTTAAAGTTTCTATAAAAGATCTATTGGACCCAAATAAACTGGTAATAATTTTGTATATATACGCATTTATAATATTAGTATGTATAGATGACATGGTTTATCTGGTAGGTATGTTTAAGCAATTAACCTATTAATTTCTCAACAAATGTTCTTTAATAGATCTAGTATCATGCTATAGAAACATACAGTAAACTGATTAAATGTCCATAACACAGAATACAGATTTGTTTTGTATTCTAAAGTTAATAAAGTATTTTTTGTCAGCACAAGGCGTATTTTTTATACTAGTCAATTTAATGATAATAATATAAATCACAGCAATATAGTAAAGCTTTATTAGATAACACTCCCAAGTTGTTAAATAACTGCTTATACTGTTGTTCAATAACATAATTTTCTTTACAAACTTATCTGAACTAAACTTAAAATCAAGAGTTAATTTTAAAATGAAAATAAAGGCTGTCAAATAAGAATACCAGTGTTCGACCAACTTAAAAGGAAACAATGAAGGAAGTTAAGCTACTGTGTATTGGGTATACTGTGACCGACCTCAAATATTTGATACCTACAGGTTTAACTTGAACTTGCAACAGGTGTACAGATAGAAAAAAACTTTTATCGTGGTTTGAATTAATTAAAAGTAAATCAATTGTTCATTATAATATTAATTTCTTTAAAGTGCCGTGAAGAAAGTAACATTTGATTAGTGTATTATGTATGAAGTATTTTATTTGAACATTTATTTAAGCGTTAATAAGCCAAGAGTCATATACAGTCATTTACAGGCATGTATATGAGAAGTAGTATCATAAAAATAAAAACTTATTCAGAAAATAATATTTATAAATATCCTCCTATAAAAAGTTACATAGTTACTTTATGAATTAGATGTCGCTTAATCGAAAATCACTCGGCCTGCCGTACATTTTATATTACGCAAACATCAAATTATACGCCAAATGGAAGTGCCTAAGCGCCAATGGTCAAAAAACACCAAAATGTATGTCGCTTCAGCGTTGTGAACAATAATAATCTTCAATAAATTTATTTGCTTCAGCGCCAAATAAGTCCTCAAATCTTCACGAAATATAAACAGACCGATGCAGAAAAAATCTAATTCAAATAATATAAATAACTAGCTGACCCAGCGAACTTCGTACCGCCCTAAAAAAATAGGGGTTGTCCAGCGGACAAAATTGTGAATCTAAACCATTCTCAGATCCCCTTGAACACACACAAAAAAATTCATCACAATCGGTCCAGTCGTTTAAGAGAAGTTCAGTGACATACACACTCACAGAAGAATTATATATATAAAGATTAAATTTACGACCAAAGTGGCATATAAGCGTTTTCCACTGTCGATATAAATTCATATTTATTTCAAAGATTATTTTCATGTTCAAATGACACACCTATCGAATTTTATTAAGAAAAGCAAGTAAGACTTTGTTCTTGTTTAAGCCTGTTTAAGCCACTTGCTTTGTCAGTGTCACGTTAAGTAAGCTTCTTCTTCTTTTATCCCATCACGTAGTAAAATAGAATAAATAAAGTGTAATAAAACCTTTAAATAGCTTCATTAAAAAAAGGAATCCCAAAAATCCTGTATTACAATAAGAACTCATCACCACAACAAAACAACCTTTCTTATCCTTTTCGAATACGGAATACGTTGAATCTAAGCTTTATGTGTCCAGTGATAAGGTTTTATTTAGCCACGAACAAAGTGACCACAAAAAGAAATAAAAAGTGGAGGAAAAAAAATGTTTACTTTTCCTGCTGACCATACCAGTACACAAATAAACTTTCTATTGTGTGCCGCGCCGTGTCGAATACTTCATCGATAATGGCTCGTGGGACGCCAGTGATACGAGCTATCGATATATTCATTTATTATTTTTTACCTTGAGGTTTGTTTTTGTTTATGTGGAGCTATATATAAACAAACGCAAAGAATATTAAATCCTTGTATTAAGAATTGAATTGTTTTCAGAAATTATATTTTTCTCTTCGTACTCTAATGGTTGCATGGCTGTAAGTATCCACAGTCGTACATTAAAATGTAATATAAGTAAGAGATATAAATAATATAATTTAATGCCACACCTTTGCTCTACTACTAATCTTATTAATCTAAATAGTTCCAGTCATAATAAGAGAAGGCTTATCATTCGTTTATCTCCCAAATAATATTTTTCATGAACTATGCAATATCTGTTCTGAAATTACATAGAGACTTGTATATATACATGGTTCGATTTAATTATAACAAAGTCCAAATTCGCTGGAATAAAAACATAATAATATCGATAACTGAAACATCGACCACTTTCATTATGGTACGTCACTACAGCAATGTGACCCTCAGCGAAAGTCCAGCCTACCTAACTTTGTACAGGCAACAAGTGAAGTTTTCCCATTGCCGCGTCTGTTAAGACCTGCGAGCCAAAGGTCGACGATCCCAAGAAATTTAAGGGTAAAACAAACTAGTAATGTCTCATGCACACTAATATAAATTGTCGATAAAAACTTTTAGTTTTATTTTATCAAATCTTGAATCGAAAAGGAAAGTTGAAATTAAATATGGAATAACAGTTTCGGACTTAAATGACTCCACGATGTTAATGAAGTAAATATACCGATACCGGTTTCGTTTGATTATTAATTCTGTCTGTTATAATGAACAATTATCTATTGAAAAGTTTTAAAGCTCTGCAATAAAAAGTGAAAATATTCTCATTGAATATTTGTAAAATTTTTGCACTAGATTAATTCCTTCGAAGAAATCTTCGTAAGCTTTGGTCATCAAACGATTAAAACAGATGAAATTTTTCTTTAAAATATGAAAGCATATTTTTTATGAAATCGGAACTAAGTAAGGATGAATATAGCAAAAAATCGATTCGCGGCAGAAATAATCAATTTACCGTTCCCATAATATTAGCTCAATCGCTGTTCGATACTTAGTCGCAGTTTACTCAACCTACTTCCAATGTACGTGTAACACACAACTTTACTCCTTCTCTTTTACTCTTATCAAAACAGCTTTGAGTAGAACGAGACACATCCATTTTCCTATAATAAAAAGATTTAAAAAAGAAGAATTCAGTCGAAATTATGTCATTCAACTAATGATTGGTACTAGGAAAAGTGAATTACTCAGTTACTGCTCTTATAATCTTATTATATTGACAACCAAAAGTTTGGAGATAGTAAAAAGAATATTTTTTTCTTGTGTGTTTTTAATCACGTTGTCACTTCTAGCTAAGCTTATTTAACTCACAACCCGAATTAATATGCAATATGATAAATATTTTTTCATGAATGAGTTAATAATTTATGAATTTCAATCTAATCAACATTTGTCAAAGCAATTTACAGATTTTTATATTTTTTTTATTTAAGAATTAAACTGAAATATTTATTTTCTTGTAAAACTCTGTTTTTTTTTGTATTGAAATTTTTTTAGTTGTTGAGGACCTCGTAGAGAGATTTAATACACCAGTTTTAAAGGTGTCGCCTTCGGTTCAATTCCGGGTACGTGCAAATGTTTGTATGATTTTCGGAGTCATGGCTGTTCATATATTTCTATTATTATATTTATATAAGTAAATATGATACGTACATTGGGGTTAGGCTAATTGGTGTAGGTAAGGGAAAATTGTTTATTAAATTTATTTTGTCATTATATCTAAATTTTTATTTTGCTTTATATTGCCAAAGTATATTTACATAATTGTTTTCTTAACTTTAAATTCAGATATCTTATCAGAGTCATTCATGAGTCGCTTATTCACAAGTCCACAGCTTTCGTTGTCAATTGATAAAAAGAAATGATCGCCCGTCTCCTTCTGACATACGTCTGTCTCTTACAATTTCTCATTTCACCGTTCACTTGTTTAGCAAGTTGCGATGGCTTGCTGTGACCGAGTTCCTACCGTTTACGCACGAATTCTAGTTCGACTTTACACCTCAGAGTTTTAGAGGTGAAATTTCTCTGCTGGAGAAAGTGCGATAGAACTCTTTCAAAGTAATCCTCCCCCGGCACTATGTATGTTTCTTATTTCACAGTGTTAAGTTGGTCACTCGGCTAGTGGGTTCTTCATAGTGACACCGCCCGCACGTCTTCATTATAACACCTGATTCACCAAGAAAATAACGTATATAAAAAATGTGCGCAAACCCGTTGAAGCAGTGTCGGCACTAAAAATAGCTATTTTAAAAATAAAATGTTCAAGGAGTTCCGTTGAGATTGAGGAAAGTTTTTGAAAAGTAGATTTGCGCGGGAAGAGGTGTTACGTCAAAATGACATTTAAAAAGTGCATGCATTTGGGAAGATCGCGGTGTGAAGTGTTACCGTTTTTGTTGTTGTTTGTGTTCTTAGCTGTATTGGACAATTTCACAAGCAATGCTCAAGAATATAGCAGAGGTATGTAATAAATATATGCTATTTGGCATCGCAAAAATATAATTTTAAGTTTAAGTATATTTAGAACCTCTGTTTATAAATAACTTAAATTATGCTTAATATCTCTGAAGTTGTTTGCCTACTAATATTATATATTATCTTTCAAATATAAAGTTAAATTCTTGGGATAAAAGCTTTTAACCTCAGTTTCCCATACAATGAAAAGGAAATCTACAGAGCCAAACAAGTACTATAATAGTACTATAAATTAGGCTTTAGAGACAGATAATCATGCCAAAAATAGAACCTATAACTGATTTAATAACAAAAAAGCCAATCTGAGATCCGGTAATTTACAACTTTCGCGGTGACCAAATAAGATTTGCGAGTTGGCAAAAAAATTAGGCTCAGCGCCGGCAATTTTGATGGTATAAAAAAGTAATAATCCGCGTTATCTATGGCGAGAGAAAATTTTGGCGCCAGTTTTTTTAGCTATTACGATAATTTTGGTTGAACGTGTACCTACAAGGAGATAATAAATGGATTTCTGTCATATTAAAGTAAAAACAGTAAAACCAAAAATATACAATAATGAGCACTTGTAGCACTGGATTTTATTTAAATGAGTTGGTATAGCAAAGATGGGGGATATTAGATAAAAAAATAGAATTAATACTTACGTATAAAAAATCATGCAAATAAGTTACCCTACCGGGATCCAAACCCAGAATCCTGGAGCTGGAGATAAGCGCACTACCGTTGCACCAACGTAATGCCTCCGATTATTTCGCCCACCAAAGAGGTATATACAAAAAAAACCAGACCAATATAACCGTTTAAAACACTTTCACATAAATATTTGCAGCAGAAAATAATAGTTTCGATATCATAAGTACCCATATCTGCCAATCAAGCTTCTTTTGTATCTAATTTCATCTCGATAAAAGTTAACGGAGTTCTCGAGATAATATCTTGTAAAAAATATCAATGGCAACTAGCCTTATTAACCGAATTTATGAAGGAGGAGATTCGGTTAGTATTTATTACACTGAAAACTGCCTATTTGGGTCATACCTAACAACAGCCTCATTAAAGTATCATTGTTAATATGCTCCTTAGCACTTATCATATAATAAATACTAATAATAAAAATGATTGAATTTCTTCCACTATATTAAGATACTAATTATGTGCTGGATAGGTATTTTGTCAACAATATCCTTAAAAGCTATTTAAGACCGTCTTAGTCATTAAATAATACTCTATTAATATTTGTTAATTTGTACTCAATTTATAATATTTGTCTCTGACATCTGATAATACTATGTACTGCAAGATTTAAGAAAAAATATTGATGATATTTAATGCTCTACAACTTCAAAAGGACTATTATCATAATATTGTCAACTCAATACTACAATTATAAAGTAAACTTATCAATTCGATGTTAGATTAATGTCCTTATAAGCGCATATATCCTAATAATTAGAATTAAAATCAAAGTAATTCATAATAAAAAAAAATAGGGACTTTAAAACTAATTCGTATCACAATCCAGTTCTCTCACGAGTGAAAAATCAAATGAAGAAGAATGAAAAAAAGAGAAGTAGGCCGTTACGTAATTACTGTTACACCGAAATGTGGTCAACAAAACGCAGACGGCCAACCGCGTCCATAGACAAGCCGTCCGCCTCTCCGCGAGAGAAAGTGACGTCTATGGTCAAGAGGGAACGAATTTAATAAATGGGTGTAAGTTAGAGCATCGCATGATTGAAGGACGGAGATTAACTTTTTTGGAATTTATTTCTTTCGAAAGTAAATTGTTATAGGTACCTAGATATCTAAAATAAATATGTAAATTTATATTATTATAGCCACAAGGTGGCAAAAAATATAATTATAATCATAATCAAAATCATTTATTCAGTTTAGGCTGTTACAAGCGCTCATGAATAAGCTACCCCATCGGTTCGTAAATCTACGGTGGGAGACCTTGTACTGAGAAGAACCGGCAAGAAACTCAGCAAGGGCTGTTTTTTTCTCCCTGATTTATCATTTACAGAGTCGTCAAGTTGAAAAATGACTTCAGAGATGATTCATGAAGTCACCTTTCATTACATAATGTGAAATTATACATTAATTGTTCACCTGCATTTTGATTGCTGTGTCACACAGTATAAATACAATAATAGAAGTCAATAAGGAAAACAGGACTTTAAGGCATACACTGGAACCTAAACAAAAGAATAACGTTAGTTTTCATACATAGTATTAAAAATTGTGTTTTGATCAGTAGGTTTTCAACAATAACTTTTTATAATCCATCAATTCCACACGTAGTGCGGCGTGATTAATAAATATTTTAAACTAATATCTGGAAAAGCACTTTTCATATCATATGCAATGTATTTGTAAGTTGCAAATCATAATTAAAAAGTTTTTTTTTACAATCCCATGCACAAAAAATACAAACTTAATGAATTAATTAATGTCTTAGTGACAAGATTGTGGAGAGACTGGTATCTGAACTAGGCCGCAGCCTGTATCTCAGAAGACCAGTACTCTCCCCTCTTTACAGTGGTACATACTAACAAAATTATATGTTCTGAAAAAATAAAATAGCTGTATCTTAACAATGTTGAAGAGAACTATAACATCAGAATGTAATGATTTAATAGTAACAGGATACTAGTAATTTATGAGCGCAATAATCGCAAACAAATTGTTAAGATACAGAATCCAAACCGTAAAAATGCAGTTACCTAAAGTAACGAAACGCTTCATGAAATAAATTTTAAAAAGTCCGTATAAAAATGCACTCCCAGATTCTGGTCCCGTGTGCATCGTCATACCAAGAACGAAACGCAACGGTTCCGCGGTAACCGGTCTGCCGAAAACTCGACCAAGGGACCTGGTTTTGTTACCAAATAGGGTTAAAAGCGAACAGTTTTTTTGTTTAAACTCCTTATTAATTCGATCGCCGGCTGGTATCGAGTGTGCATCGGCGACTTAAAAAAACAAGTACCTTATCACATTTATTTATTTGTAATTGACAAACAACATAAACCAATGAATACCTATATATCCATCCCATGACTGAAATATTTATATTTTAATGACTTTTTTGTGAATATAAGATCAAATTATAGCAAAATAATGAAATTAATTGACCAAGATTCTTCTCATTCTTAGGGTATTTAGTCTACTGAGAAAAATTGTAAAGATAAAGCGCGTCAAAGTTTGGGAGTCGGGGTTCGTGACATTTAAGTAAAAATTTTACCAAAAAGCTCACTGTAGGTATGTTATTCAGTGTTTTTTACTGCTCCTGTAAAATTTAAGTTGATGTAATTATAAAACGGTATAATTCGCCGTTCGCCAGCTCCTCAATTATACCATTTTGCTTGTTTGATTCTAAGTTTTTATCTAGAATATTTCTGAAATTCTTGTTATCGCAAATAATTAGTTTCCAAAACTAATCGTTCGCATTGATAGACTTCTGAAAGCTTCGCATAAAACTAACAGCTGACATATTCTATGATTTTCGAAGTCCAACATAGATTGGAAATGTAGAATCCCATCAAAAACAATGTAAAATGTTGCCAAGACGAGACCATATATGACTCGCACTGTCAAAAAGTTATCAGGTCTAAGTTTCTGAATCTACACGCCCTATCTCTACAAGCCCAAACTTCACAAAATCTTCAAGTTTGCCAAATTATGTGGCAGGGTGAATCCACTAGGGTATTGCGGTTGGTTTTTCCACAAGCGTGATTTCCTCATCGCACAAATTCACATTTTTCACACAACATAAACATTTTTAATATAGGTACAATATTATGTGTATAACAAGTGTGATATTGTATATTTATCGATAATATTTTGTTCATTACACATTACGTGAAACTGTGTAATTGTGAGATGAGAGCAACGGAAAACACGGACAACAAACCGCAAAACCGTAGTAGATTCACCGGCTTGGCCATTTCGCTACATTCCCATGGGTGTAAGGTGAACATTTTATCCACTGTTCATTACTTTTCTGTTATACAATAATTGTAGTAGTAACGAAACGCTCAGCTACATATGGATACAGTATTGCTACTGGTCCCCTAGGTGAATGAATTAGAACAATGCGTGGGTCATTTTTTAAAGGCCAACTCCTCAAAATTGTCAGAACAATCGTAAATTCCTTGTTTATCTCCAGCTTCCGTAGACAATGAGTAATATTTTAACGAGTCTTTTCGTATTTATTTGTCTAGTTAAATGCATGACAGAGACAACCGTACTGTGTATCTGTTGAGATTTTTGTCCAAATGAATTTCTATTCGCAAGAACAATCAACCAGTTGAATGTTGTGTTTCTATCGGTGGGTAAGGTTCCAATGCTCCACGGGGAAGGGGATTGGTTCATGCTAGGCAACCATCAGAAAAGCCATATGCTTGTTTTGACATAAGAAAATCAATCTTTTTTATAATCATAATAATCAAAATCATTTATTCAGTAAAACTAGTTTTTACGGGTTAATGCACGAAACTTTATTTATTTATTGACGTTTCGCAGCCTTTTCAGGTCTGCATCGTCAGAATAATGAATTTTTATTTAAAATTGTCGAGCTACCTTCGAAAGACTTATATTGAGCGTTCGGTTATTTCATTGTGCATTAACCCGTAAAAACTAGTTTTATTTAATGAGTGATGTGCGTGAAAACCTAAGAAACAAATATCATTTATTCAGTTTAGGCTGTTACAAGCACATATGAATGTCTAGAAGCTACGCCATCGGTTCGTAAATCTACGGCGGGAGACCTTGTACTGAGAAGAACCGGCAAGAAACTCAGCAAGGGCTTTTTTTCTCCCTGATTTATCATTTACAGAGTCATCAAGTTAAAAATGACTTCAGAGATGATTCATGAAGTCACCTTTATACATTAATTGTTCACCTGCATTTTGATTGCATTTATAAATACAAACAGAGTTACATTGTGTCACCTGCATTTTGCTTGCATTTATAAATACAAACAG